AGCTAGGCCTACATTTTGAAGTGTTTTGATTCAAGTGGGTTGCCAACGTGGTAAGTGTAACGCAACACTTTTTTTGTTAATCACTTCCATTGATATCACGCGGAAATCAATAGAAAAGGGGTGTAAATGTTTTGGGTGTAGCGCTCTTTGAACTAACACTATTCACACTTGGAATAACCTATGGTTGGTTAGATAAACTTGTAGAAGGCTCACATCTATATTTTAGAATGTCAGGTGTTGATATCGGGAGGGAACAGACCACTTTTTTGTTAGTTAGACTAATTTAAACGAATCACGACGCGGCATAGGATATCTACAGTGACAACGGTTGGCTGCTATTTAAGTGATAGTTTGACTGTCAAATCTATGTATTGGTGTGGCAACACTTTGGGGAAGGCCCTTTCGTGTTTCAGCATGACAATGCACCCGTGCACAAAGCGAGGTCCATACATAAATGGTTTGTCGAGATCGGTGTGGAAGAACTTGATTGGCCTGCACAGCGCACTGACCTCAAATACGTCAAACACATTTGGGATGAATTGGAACGCCAACTGCGAGTCAGGCCTAATCGCCCAACATCAGTGCCCGACCTCACTAATGCTCTTGTGGCTGAATGGAAGCAAGTCCCCTCAGCAATGTTACAACATCTAGTGAAAAGCCTTCCCAGAAGAGTGGAGGCTGTTGTAGCAGCAAAGGGGGACCAACTCCATATGCCCATGATTTTGGAATGAGATGTTTGTGTCCACATACTTTTGCAACAATGACATTATTTCTCACTCATTTAACCATTTGGAGAGTAAAATAATGCTCTCAAACACAATTTTAACTGGTCGCTGTAGACTAGAGCCTCCATAGTCTGTGCAGAAGCCTGAACGTTTGACGTCCCTACCTTTTTAGGTTTCTTTTCATGTCTAGTCCATTGTACTGGCCTGTGTGATGTGTAGTAGTTTGATGCATCTTCTTGCTTTGCTTATTTTTTGTCACCTGAAAATTCAGTCTCAGCCAACAATTGTTGATATCCTACATTTTTTACCTGACCCTTACAGACACAGATGCCGGACCCGAAGACATTCAAGCAGCACTTTGAGAGCAAGCATCCCAAGTCCCCAATGCCCCCAGAGCTGGTTGATGTTGAGGCTTAAAAGACCACACACACAATGGACCTACAGCTGGGTTAAGATGCTCTCATCATTCAGACTCACAGTATACATGTTAGCAAAAACTCTTGCCCTATGCTTCAACTGTATTTCATATGGCTCAATATGTGGAAATTTTGTCACTCATTGCCTTTCATATTGTGATTCACAGACATACAATGACAACGATTTGAGCGCTGCAACTGGGACTGAATGGCATCAAGGGACAAAACACTGAGACCCCTGGACATGGGTGGGGGAATATTTGTGTGACAATGACCTGGGGGGGGGGGGGGCAGAAGCACACCAGCACCCCATCTTATATGTCCAACCACCCCTCAACTTCAGACTATTGAAGCACCCATCTTACTTCTATGAGCCCACTCTACCTACATCCCTTTTCCCTATGCCGCTTCCTTCATTCATTCCTGATTCAATACCATCTAGACTGTTACACGTCTAAAAGTTTCATGGTGTTACTTTTTCTCATCTGTGTACCGCTGTCCTACTTTTGCCCCTTACTCTTTTCTATACCTCCTCCCATACACTCTTGTGCAAATCATTTCTGCTTTCTTTGACAATGGTGTCATAGTGGAAAGGATTTGTTAGTTGCCCAAGACTGAGCCTTGTTCTGCCTGTAAAAGGCCCTGGTCGAAACAATGCCAAAATCACTTTTGATAGTCTCTGGGTCCACGTTGTAACAATAGTTTTTTTGCATTTGACCATTTCCAATAAATTTAGCAATATATATGAAAGCATTCCTCTGCCTATTTGATCCATTCTGAAGGAAAGCAGTGAATACGTTTTGTGTGTGTGAGAGAATATGTATGCCTTGTAATGCTAGCAGAAAATCGTTACTTCCGAATGCAAGTGAAACGCCATTCCGTCTATACTGATACCAGACAAATGTATACTTATAAGTATTTTCAAATGTATTTCCAATATACTGCAATGCTATGTAGCTGAAGAGGGGTGACACTGTCTAGGATAGGAGTGTCGATCAGTTTCTGGAGGTCTGTGTTCACTGGCATTTACTCTCACTTCTGCATCAAATCAACCTCTACAAGAAATATTCTAGTTTATTTTATTACACATATAGCAGTACACAGTCCTCCAGAAATCTGTTGACAATGACACATTCCTGTGTATTGGATCCTCTGTACATATAAAAATGGCAAAAGAGAATTTGACATTTTCCATTGCTACTACCTTCTCACACTAAATAATCCATATCTTATACTGAACTGAAATATGAATGCAACATGTAAAGTGTTGTTCCCATGTTTCATGACCTGAAATAAACGATCCAAGAAATTTTCCATTCGCACAAAAGGTTTATTTCTCTCAAATTTTGTGAACCAATTTGTTTACATCCCTTTAAGTGAGTATTTCTCCTTTGCCAAGATAATCCATCCACCTGACAGGTGTGGCATATCAAGAAGCTGATTTAAAAAGTATGATCATTACACAAGTGCACCTTGTGCTGTGGACAATAACAGGCCACTCTAAAATGTGACGTTTTGTCACACGACACAATGCCACGTCTTATGTTTTGAGGGAGCGTGCAGTTGGCATGCTGACTACAGGAATGGCCACCAGAGCTGTTGCAAGATAATTGAATGTTCATTTCTCTACCATAAGCCGCCTCCAATGTCATTTTAGAGAATTTGGTTGTAAGTCCAACCGGCCTCACATCCAAAGACCATATGTAACCCGCCAGCCCTGGACTTCGACATCCAGCTTCTTCACCTGCGGGATCGTCTGAGATCAGACACCCGGATAGTTGATGAAACTGTGGGATTACATAACTGAATAATTTCTGCACAAACGCAGGGAAACTCATCTGCGTGCTCGTTGTCCTCACCAGGGTCTTGCCCTGACTTCAGTGGGCAAATGTTCACCTTCGATGGCCACTGGCACGCTGAAGAAGTGTGCTCTTCACAGATGAATCCCGCGTCATGTGGCCAAGTGGTTTGCTGATGTCAACGTTGTGAACAGAGTGCCCAGTGTCAGTGGGGTTATGGTATGGGCAGGCATAAGTTACGGACAACGAACACCATTGCATTTTATCGATAGCAATTTGAATGCACATAGATACCGTCACAAGATCCTGAGGCCCGTTGTTGTGCCATTCATCCGCCGCCATCACCTCGTATTTACATTTACATTTGAGTAATTTAGCAGACGCTCTTATCCAGAGCGACTTACAGTTAGTGTATTTCAGCATGATAATGCACGGTCCCATGTCTCAAGGATCTGTATGCAATTCCTGGAAGCTGAAAATGTCCCAATTCTTCCATAGCCTGCATACTCACAAGACATCTCACCCATTGAGCATGTTTGGGGTGCTCTAGATCGACATTTACCACAGCGTGTTCCAGTTCCCGCCAGTATCCAGCAACTTCGCAAAGCCATCAAAGAGGAGTGGGACGACATTCCACAGGCCTCAATCAACAGCTTGATCAACTCTATGCTAAGGAGATGTGTCCTGCTGCATGAGGCAAATGGTGGTCACACCAGATACTGACTGGTTTTCTGATCCACGCCCCTATCTTTATCATACTGGGCGCACTGGTTCAGGTCTACCAGATGGTAGCTCACTAACTCATTGTCCTTCAAGGGAAAGAGAGCCTCCTCGGTGGGAAATGTGTTCTGTGCTCTAACATCACTGCTCTTTGCTTTGTGATAGGACGAGGCCGAATTAAAACGAAATGCATGTTCTTCAATCGAACGCTGCTTGCACCCGCCCGCCCGATTAGAATCACTACTCTTGGCGGGTCTGATTTAGAATATGTGGACAATACAAATACCTAGGTGTCTGGTTAGACCGTAAACTGTCCTTCCAGACTCACATTAAGCATCTCCAATCCAAAGTTAAATCTAGAATCGGCTTCCTATTTCGCAACAAAGCCTTGAATCATGCTGCTAAACATGCCCTCATAAAACTGACTATCCTACAGATCCTTGACTTCCGCGATGTTATTTACAAAATAGCTTCCAACACTCTACTCAGCAAATTGGATGTAGTCTATCACAGTGCCATCCGTTTTGTCACCAAAGCCCCATATTCTACCCACCATTGTGACCTGTACGCTCTCGTTGGCTGGCCCTCACTACATATTAGTCGCCAAACCCACTGGCTACAGGTCATCTATAAATCACTTCTAGGCAAATCCCCGCCTTATCTTAGATCATTGGTCACCATAGCAACACCCACCCGTAGTATGCGTTCCAGCAGGTATATCTCACTGGTCATCCCCAAAGCCAACACCTCCTTTGGCCGCCATTCCTTCCAGTTCTCTGTTGCATATGACTGGAACGAACTGCAAAAATCTCTGAAGCTGGAGACACTTATCTCCCTCACTAATTTTAAGCATCAGTTGTCAGAGCAGCCTACCGATCACTGCACCTGTACACAGCCCATCTGTAATTAGCCCACCCAACTACCTCATCCCCATATTGTGATTTACAGTGTTATTTATTTTGCTCATTTGCACCCCAGTATCTCTATTTGCACATCATCTTCTGCACATCTATCACATCTATCACTTCTGCACATCTATCTATCACACCATGGCCTATTTACTGCCTTACCTCCATAACTTACTACATTTGCACACACTGTATATAGATTTTCTATTGTGTTATTGACTGTACGTTTTGTTTATTCCATATGTAAAAGCGTCTGCTAAATGACTAAAATGTAAATGTAATGTAACTCTGTGTTGTTGTTATTTTTATCGCACTGATTTGCTTTATCTTGGCCAGGTCGCAGTTGTAAATGAGAAGAATTATTATTATTATTATAGAAGAAAAAAGAAAGAAAGAAATGTGAGAGAGGGTGTAGTAGTGCATACTGACCACTAGTTGGATCATAGCGTGGTTGGTGGCGTTCATGCAGGAACCCAGAGGGTATAGGCATTCTCCATCACAGTAGAAGGGCAGAGTAACCCGTAGGAGCCAGGACCCAGTCCTTATGGAGAGAAATACCATAGAAATAGAATGACAAGATTAGATTAATGACTAGAAGAGACTATTTCTATGAGAAATACATCATAAAATATGCAAAGAACATACACTACAATGCACATACTACACAAATGCCTTGCTTCCCTAAAAATACTAATTGTGTGTTACAGCAAATAAGGTGATACAATGTTAGATCATGATATTATCTATTCAGTAGATTGAGTAGTTAAGGGAGACAGAAGCTCACCTTCCAGTCTAGGTCACTAAAGCTCACATATAATTAATGTCTCTTACAAGCCTGACGCCCACTGTTGACGTGGCTGTGATCTGAAAGGGATCAAAAAAGATGTTATGAGACAGGACAGACTGTAAAGCATGCTTTGGATGCATTGGATTTAAAATAAAGACACAATTAAATGTAAACGCAAGTTAAGTAATTTTGTAATTTGGATGAACTATCCCTTTAAACTCTGCATAAAACAAGCTTAACAACAACACCAAAAACCAGTGTTGTCCCCTGACCTTGTATGACCTCACCATGTATACTGGGCAGGGGACGGTCATATTTGGGCTTCTTCTTGCGGGGGTTGGGATTCAGGGATCGACGGGGCCTGGCTGGCCCTGAAGAAGGTCACCATGAAGGGCTGTTTGGAGCAGGGGCCCCTTCGACCCACCAAGCCTACCCACCCAGCTGACAAGGACTGGTCTGATAGAGAGAAAACAATGTGTGTGTGTGTTTGTGTGTGTGTGTGTGTGTGTGTGTGTGTGTGTGTGTGTGTGTGTGTGTGAGAGAGAGTGATACAATCTTGAGGTACACCAAAACAGCATATCTCCATTTCTATGTATTTACTAAACAATTACAAATACTATATGACATTACATTGCTACTGCACAGGTATTGGTGTAGTATTCTGAGTTAACTTGCCTCTTTATTCAATGGTATAATAATCAAGAAATCCACTTTGTGGGAAATACCCTCCCCATCTGCAGAGCATTTCCTGACCCTGACCATAGTATTAACTCTTTGAGGCTCACCCTCCTCTGTGTCCACATAGAGACTGCAGGTGTCACGAATACCGCCGAGGCTGCTCCTCCTCCTTGTTCGGGCAGACTTCGGCGTTCGTCGTCCCCGGAGTACTAGCTGCCACCGTTTGATGTTTCGATGTTCGTTTGGTCATGTCAAGTTTAGTTCACCTGTTTCGTATTCTGTCCTGATTATGTCACTTATAAGTTTCCCTGTGTTATGTTTTGGAGTTGTGTGTTGTTGTCCGCCTGTCGTTTGTCTGTTGGTTTATGTTGTGCTTTAGTGTTTTACGCGTTGCGCCTAGATTTTCGCCTCCTGTGTTTTGAGGCCATTTATTTTCTGTATTGTGTATTCAGTCAAGTAAAGCTGTTTGACTTATCCGCTGTGTCCTGCGCCTGACTTCACCACCACATCCACAAGTACATCGTGACAGAACAACACACCTATTACCATGGAGTCAGCAGGAGCAGCGGCGGGAACCGAGTCGCTGGAAGATCGGGTCAGCTTCCAGGACGCCAGAATCCAGCAACTCGGGTCCGCCATGCAGGAGGTCATGGACACCCTGCGCCGATGGGAGAGAGGAGGTTTGCCCACACCTCCTCCTACCTTACCACCACCATCGGCCAGCCCCACCATACCAGCTCCGGAGTCCAGTGGCATTCGGCTCTCGCTCCCGAGGGCATATGATGGCACCGCAGCCGGGTGTCAGGGGTTCCTCCTTCAAGTGGAGCTCTACCTGGCTACCATACACCCGGCGCCCTCGGGATACGAGAGCGTTTCCGCCCTCATCTCCTGTCTCTCCGGCAAGGCGTTGGAGTGGGCCAATGCCGAATGGAGGGGAATAGACGCCGCCACCATCAGCTACGCGGAGTTCTCCCGCCGTTTCAGGGCTGTGTTCTATCATCCCCCTGAGGGTAAAGCGGCGGGAGAGCGTCTGTTCCACCTTCGACAGGGGAAGAGGAGCGCCCAGGAGTTTGCCCTGGACTTCCGGACTCTAGCGGCGGATGCGGGGTGGAATGAGAGGGCCCTCATGACCACTATCGGTGTAGCCTGCGTGAGGACGTTCGACGAGAGTTGGCCTGCAGGGACACCAATCTCACCTTCGACCAGCTGGTGGACATGTCAATCCGTCTGGATACCCTGCTGGCCACCCGCGGACGTCCAGAGTTGGGGCCGTCCATTCCATCCTCCAGCACCTCCGAGCCGAGCCCTATGGAGCTCGGGGGTGCTGGCGCTAGAGAGAGGAGGAGGGAGATACCGAGGGAGGCCGTCCCCTGCACCAACTGTGGTCGTAGAGGACACACTGCGGCTAGGTGCTGGGGAGGGTCTCCAGGGGGTCTAGGCAGCAGGTCGTGCACTGGGGAGTCATTCCAGGTGAGTAGGCGCCCCACTTACCCAGAGCTCTCTGTTGTTCACTTTTGTATACCTGTAGTATTTCCTCAGGTTGCATCTCAGTCCCAGCATAAGGCGCTAGTCGATTCAGGCGCAGCTGGGAATTTCATTGATCGTAATTTTTGTGTTAAGTTAGGGATTCCCCTCCGACCAGTAGATGTGTCTTTCCCTATCCATGCCCGAGATAGTCGTCCGTTGGGATCTGGGTTGATTAGGGAGGTCACAGCGCCACTTAAGATGAGGACGCAGGGGGGTCATGAAGAGATTATTCAGTTGTATCTGATCGACTCTCCTGCGTATCCCGTGGTACTGGGGCTTCCTTGGTTAACCACCCATGATCCCACCATTTCGTGGCAACAGAGGGCTCTCAAGGAGTGGTCTAACCAGTGTGTCGGGCGATGTTTAGGTGTTTCCGTAGGGGCGACCACGGTGGAGAGTCCGAACCAAGTGCCCGCAATGCACATTCCCCCCGAGTATGAGGATTTGGCACTCGTGTTCAGTAAGACTAGGGCGACGCGTTTGCCACCTCATAGACGGGGAGATTGTGCGATAGATCTCCTGGCGGGTGCGGCACTTCCGCGGAGCCATGTGTATCCCTTGTCTCAAGAGGAGACGGCGGCTATGGAGACATACATAGCCGAGTCTCTGAGACAGGGATACATACGGTCCTCCACTTCCCCTGTGTCCTCGAGTTTCTTTTTTGTGAAGAAAAAGGATGGAGGTTTGCGCCCGTGTATTGATTACCGTAATCTCAATCAGATCACAGTTAAATACCGTTATCCTCTGCCTCTGATTGCGAGTATGACGGAATCATTACGCGGAGCGCGTTTCTTCACAAAACTGGATCTCAGGAGCGCTTACAACTTGGTGCGCATTAGGGAGGGAGATGAATGGAAGACAGCATTTAGTACCACCTCGGGTCATTATGAGTATCTCGTCATGCCATATGGGTTAATGAATGCTCCTTCAGTCTTTCAATCCTTTGTGGACGAGATCTTCCGGGACTTGCATGGGCAGGGTGTGGTCGTGTACATTGACGACATTCTAGTGTACTCATCTACACGAGCCGAGCATGTAGCCCTGGTACGCCGAGTGTTGGGTAGGCTGTTGGAGCATGACTTGTATGCCAAGGCAGAGACATGTCTGTTTTTCCAGGAGTCCATCTCCTTTTTGGGTTATCGGTTGTCTGCGTCAGGGGTGGAGATGGAGGTTGACCGTGTGTCAGCCGTGCGTAATTGGCAGACTCCAACCACTGTTAAAGAGGTGCAACGGTTTTTGGGTTTTGCCAATTACTACCGGAGGTTTATCCGGGGTTTTGGACAGGTGGCAGAAGGGGGGCCCGGTGCGTTTGCAGTGGTCGGCTGAGGCAGACAGGGCGTTTAATAAACTGAAGAACCTGTTTACCTCGGCTCCGGTGCTGGCGCATCCGGACCCCGCTTTAGCGTTCCAAGTGGAGGTGGACGCGTCAGAGGCCGGTATTGGGGCAGTATTGTCTCAACGCTCAGGCACGCCTCCTAAACTCCGGCCCTGCGCTTTTTATTCAAAAAAGCTCAGCCCGGCGGAACGAAATTATGACGTAGGGGACAGGGAGCTGCTAGCCGTAGTTCAGGCCCTAAAGGTGTGGAGGCATTGGCTTGAGGGGGCTCAACACCCTTTTCTCATTCTGACTGACCATCGTAACCTGGAGTACATCCGGGCAGCTAGGAGACTGAACCCTCGTCAGGCTAGGTGGAACATGTTTCTGACCCGGTTTGTCTTTAAGCTTACATACATCCCAGGGCCCCAGAACGGTAAGGCAGATGCACTGTCCCGGCGGTATGACACAGAGGAGAGGTCCATTGAGTCCACACCCATACTGCCGGAGTCTTGTCTGTTGGCACCGGTGGTGTGGGAGATCGATGCGGAAATCGAGCGGGCGTTACGCACCGACCCTACTCCTCCGGAGTGTCCAGTGGGGCGGACGTACGTGCCGCTCGAGATCCGTGATCGTCTCATATATTGGGCTCACACGTCGCCCTCCTCTGGACATCCAGGTATTGGCCGGACAGTGCACTGCCTTAGTGTAAAGTACTGGTGGCCAACATTGGCTAGGGACGTGAGGGTTTATGTCTCCTCCTGCTCAGTGTGCGCCCAGTGTAAGGCGCCTAGACACCTGCCCAGGGGGAAGTTACAGCTCCTGCCCGTTCCACAACGGCCGTGGTCTCACCTCTCGGTAGACTTTGTCACTGACCTACCTCCCTCCCAGGGGAATACCACCATTCTGGTCATTGTGGATCGGTTCTCTAAGGCCTGTCGTCTCATCCCAATGCCGGGTCTCCCTCTGCTTTGTTTACCCACATCTTCCGGCACTACGGGGTTCCCGAGGATATAGTGTCAGATCGAGGTCCCCAACTCACCTCTAGAGTCTGGAGGGCGTTCATGGAACGGTTGGGGGTCTCGGTTAGCCTTACCTCGGGTTTTCACCCTGAGAGTAATGGGCAGGTGGAGAGAGTGAACCAGGATGTGGGCAGGTTTCTGAGATCGTATTGCCAGGACCGGCAGGAGGAGTGGTCGGGTTATATCCCTTGGGCAGAGATTGCCCAGAACTCTCTTCGCCACTCCTCTACTAACCTGACCCCTTTCCAATGTGTGTTAGGGTATCAGCCGGTTCTGGCACCATGGCATCAGAGCCAGATCGAGGCTCCTGCAGCGGGCTATCCGTAGACAGAAGGCGAGCGCCGATCTCCACCGCAGTGAGGGTCCGGTGTACGCACCTGGAGATCGAGTCTGGCTCTCGACTCGAAACCTGCCTCTTCGCCTGCCCTGCCGGAAGCTGGGTCGGCGGTTTGTGGGGCCATTTAAAGTGAGGCCGGTGGTAGCTGGTCCACTCCAGGAATGTGAGATAAGAGAGACTCCTCCGCCTCCACTGGACATCGAGGGGGCTCCGGCGTACTCAGTCAGGTCCATCGTGGATTCGAGACGTCGGATGGGGGGTCTACAATATCTCGTGGAGTGGGAGGGGTACGGTCCGGAGGAACGGTGCTGGGTGCCTAGGAGGGATATCTTAGATCCCTCCCTCCTGACGGAGTTCCACCGAAACCATCCCACGCGCCCTGCTCCGCGTCCTCCTGGCCGTCCCCGAGGGGGGGGGGGTACTGTCACGAATACCGCCGAGGCTGCTCCTCCTCCTTGTTCGGACAGGCTTCGGCGTTCGTTGTCCCCGGAGTACTAGTTGCCACCGTTTTATGTTTCGATGTTCGTTTGGTCATGTCTAGTTTAGTGCACCTGTTTCGTATTCTGTCCTGATTAT